CTCAACTGCAGGCTGGGCCTGAAGGCAGGAGACATACTGTATAAGGTCCCCCTCTCAAGAAATCCCTCCAAATAAGAGTTTTCACTTAACATTAAATATTATTGTAGATACTATCACTTTATCGCTGGGTAGTTGTGTAATTAAGAGCTACCTCTAAAATAAACCTGTTAGAAAACTTATCCAGTTGCCAGAGGTCAGTAAAGGGAAATATATAGCCAAAGCCCTGAACAGTAGTACGTGTTTTCTATTTAGCTAATAGCTGTGGCTATTAAAGAATGATATGATACAGCTCTCGCTCATTTCTCATTACTGCTCTTTGAGAAATGGTTTAATGGCCTGTATCTGTGAGGATGGGCTATAAGACTGTGCACAATTCCAACAGAAGTAAAGAAATCGTAGTTAAAAACAAGTTTCCACTTCTTCAAAGGAATGCATTCATATTTTTAGATAAAAAACAGAGCACAAATACATTAAAGACATTAAAAGTTTCAAGGTCTTCACCACTGCTGTACTCAGAAAATAAACACAAACAGCCACACCTACAGAGAGTCGTGTGGTTAGAAGAGATGAATGACACTTCCTAATGTAGCTGTCAGCAGAAAGAAAATTTTAGATTTCATTTTTTAATTTCATTAATTTATTTTTTATTATTCTGCTTTGAGGCTGATGCTTTTACCCAGAGTGCCTTGGGCTGGTACCAGCTGACTGCTGGGTATTTTACTGGCGCACCCTCGAGCGAAAAACAGCAGCGCCCATCAACACCCCCCATTAAAACCCCCTTAAAACAGGGGAAAGCACTACAGTATTTTCTCTTTACAGTGGATTTGATACAGGGTGGCATCGATATATCAAGTTTTATGCAGGACGCTTTCACACCCTTTAAAGCACGGTGCCTCATTTTCTCTGCAGACAGAACTACACCTGGCGGCAGAGGTGTTCAGATGAGGCCTGTTTCAGTTCTCGGCTGCGTTCCTTCAGACCAGAGAAGACGTGGGAAAGCAACCTGTGGCGGACCTGAATCAGCCTACCCACCGGGATTCTTTTCCCAGGTCACGGAGAGAAGCAGAAATCTTTCCTCTGTCAACTGGAGAGAGTACACCTGAGTGACGGCGGTGTGTCGACTCAAAACACAGGAATTAGGGAATAAAGTGGCAATGACCTTTGTCATCTTCTGTGTGGCGTCTTGTAACCTTATTTTAGTAGCTACGGGTGATGTAGAAACACCTCATTTTAAAAAAGGAGTGCTCCAATTTAACACCGCGGTCTCTGTAGCACCATTACGGTGGGAATTCAACCTGACACAGTCCTACTCAAATGAAGCTCCAAAGCCATTCTTCCAGGAAATGGTGTTCTCGTAATGTTTCCCTGCTGCTGTTCTCTGGGCTTCAATTGTTTCACTTTCACAATGACTTTTTCTGTGCAATCTTTTCCACCTCCCAGCCCTCAAAGACCTCTCACGTTCTATTAGCCTTGTCACATGAAGACAATGTTAGAAATACACCACAGGACGAGTGGAAACTCCATGAAAGTGCACTGAAAACGCAGAAGAGGAGGCCCCTCTCTTTACGGAAAGGGTTGTGGGAGTATGGAACAAGCTGTCTTCCACTCTGTATCTGTATCCATGTTTGCCCACTCCTGAAATTAGTTCCTACAGATACCTGGCATGTGGCTCATGTGCTAAAATTTGTGAATGTTGTATTTAAAACAAATTCTGTAGACGGGACCTACTGTAATTCACACATTAAAGTATGGCAATTTATTTGAATACTTTTGAAAAATCACATACAGCAGGGGAACAAACTCTTCCCAAATGCATTGGATTTATCCCACACCTAATCCAGTCACAAATGAACTCCTGAGATACTATTTTTTATACATTTTCTATACAGACTTAATTAGCAGATTAGTATTAGCTTTGCAGTTTTTATGACAGTCTGAAGGAATAAGACGACATACTGTACTGTCCTCAGTGGCTCCTGTCACAGACTGTTGTGTGAAGAGGTGGCTTGTAAATTAATAAGCGACACTGAGATCATTGTAACCGAGGAAGCGTTCAAGCCCCTCTGGCGGATCAGTTTCTGTTTAGCTAAAGGGTGACCAACATGTGAGTGCGTTACATCACATGGCAGGGTGTCCCCCTCTTGGGAAGACATTATAATCCCTTCTCGTTTATAATATCCACAGCGGCCCGGAAGGCCACTACTTTGTTCAAAAGAAAACCCCGTCTAACGTGCTTTAGACAGACTGAAACAGAGAACTCAAAATGTTTGAGCCAAACGCTTGTAAACATTGACTGCAGCCGGTTAACCGCTGGATAAAACTACATACCGGGGGGTTTCTCTCATAGATACACATCAAAACGGTTTGGTTTAGAAACGCAAATCAAAGAAGACTTTAATCGCATGCTAAAGACCGGTTCCGTCGAGAAAACAGCTGCCTTGTCGTAACTCTAAAGTAGAAATTCAGTCAACCACCTCCGCCTCCGGACGGGTCAGGTCGGGTCGGGAAGGCGGGCCCGACACACGCTACACTGCGGTACTGGACTGTGCCGCAGCGGTGCGGGACCGGACCGGACTGCGGCCCAACACGGCAGAGCATTCAGGGCTGTGAGCCAGCACCTTGGCTGGTCAAAAGAGGAGGAAAAAAACAAAGTCGCGAACACGAAAAGGCAACACAGGCCAAAATCGATTTCTTAATTAAAGCTCTCAGTTGCCGCCTGTCTACTTTCCACCACACTGTCCGCGGACGGTGCGCGACAGGACAGCTGAAAGCGAAAGAGAACCAGGCTTAAGCAACCGATGGATAATTCATAAACGTCGGAATTCTCAGATGTAATATTAAAGGACTGCTTTCAAAGGACCTGAATGAGTTTTCCTTCCCATTCCTAAAAGCGGGATACCCAGGCGCTGAAAGCGGATTGCTTGCCCAGACACGGACGCGATGCTCCCCGGCAGCCCAGCTCCCGGCCGACAGCCATGTTGCTTCGGGCTGCAGCGACGCGCCCGGCGGAGGAGGCTCTGCCCGTCCGGGCTTGGTTCGCTTCAGTTTGCCTCCGGAGACCCACGAGAGGCTGCCTGATTATGCATGGATGTGCCGGACAGGCACGACGTCACAAACTGAGACGTGAAAACTAACCGTTAATGAATGTGTGTCACAGCTGCCGAATAAACTGGGCAGAGCCGCGACTGTAAGGCGCTTCTCTCCGTTAATCAGCTTTCATTTCGCGCAGTTGCCAGGCATGGCAGATTATACACCGAGAGTCGGCATTCGCCTTCACGGTGTTTTCATGCTTAGGTCCCTTTATGTGTTGCTACTGTATCATTCATGGTTATATCACACCTTGCGCTGCTGGTGTTTTGCAGTGCGGTGCCGCACATTTCCAGGCGCTCGATCGGGGCCTCGGTGCGCTGAAGCTACATCAGTGTCACCTCACCTGGATCATTACTGTACCACGACTCGCTCTCTCTTCCACAGACTGCCATTAATGTCCTTCGTTATTATTAACCCTATTTATATCTCTCTGCGATCATCCTATTAACACACCTTATTACGAGCTTCGCAGCTACACACAAACAAAACAAGGACGTACGTGTTCTTACCTTGTTATTGTCCTTCTGGAATTATCAGCAATGTTTTATAGTCCCAAACCTCACTTCTGCGTCAGTAAGAGTATTCTATTTCGCTAATCGTCCGTCCGGACTGTAGCGCTTGATCTCACCCCACCGTCTCGCTCTCGCCCACCTCGGATTTCACCAGTGTGAGATGACGGTGACGTCATCGCACGCCCTCGTCATATGACAGGCTTCCGAGGGGTCCACGCGCTGGCTTGTCTTCATTGAGTAGCTTCTCACATTTCGTAACGCCTGCTGCAGGTGCGCTACGTCACGGTTTTGTAATGCTAGCAAACGATAAATATCAACATCAACATTTGGTACCCGAGCCAACACAAACTGTTAACACGACTTATAGATTTAAGGTGCAAAACAAACAAACGCCACGACGTACAAAATACATACTAATTATGAGAACAACATGTTAATATTGTGTTGTTTGTATTTATGTCATGGGTTGTGAGCTGCCAGTTCGTGAACGTTTCTACAACGTGTGTATAGTGTTGAATTCATACCTCGACACACAAATTCTTGCAGTTTAGTAAATCTACTATCTTCACAAACTCCTTTCACACACTGTCATCTTGGATGAAGCAAAAGGTGACACAAAAACATTAAGCCGTTCGTATTTCTCCAGAACAGTGTTTATTTTCCAGTACTATGAACGGGAGAAAAAACAGAAGACGCTTCAGGAGGTTCTGTGGCAGTTTAGTACATAATCTCCTAGCCCTGTTGTTTGGGTTGACATACTGGGCCATGGGCTCCTTCCAGTAACAATCTTGGATCATTAAGGTACCTGCAGCCAAATGAAGACCCCACCAAATAGCCTCGTCTAGTTTATTATGTTTAATTAGCCATGTTTAGCTAATTCAATTAGATAAATTAACTAGCAGCTAATTAATAATTCCCAAAGTGTCAAATTGACATTTCTTATCAGTAATGTGAAGCTTTGTTTAAATGCTATTGGTCAGAGCACAGTGTCGGTGTGCTTTGGGTGCAAAGAAACAAGAGGTCAATTCCACACTGGAAAGTAGAAAGAAGAAACAATTTCAACCATTGAGCCTCTTCATGTGTATGTTGCTTTTTTCCCTTCCTACTTTTCAGTGTGGAACTAACCTTTTTTTATTCCTCTGCAAGTGTTATACCATCGTACAAAATTCACAAAATGACTTTTGCACTCTGCGATTTTTTACAGTTCAGATTTTTTTTTGCTAATAGCGTAGGTCACCAAGCATTAGGTAAATATCATTATTACAACAAAACAAAGTATGAGCTCATTGCCCCAGGCAGACTATCTCTCACAGAAGCATCCATATCCATATGGGCTAAAGTGTACTGTGTTTTTCAACAGGCTTCACAGATTAAGTGAACAAATACAGACTAAAGGGGTCCGATTTTAAAATACTGTACATATTTATTGACACACATTTCTCAGTGTATACTGGCCTTTCAAAAAGTTACAATAAGAATACATTAAGTACACCACAGAAAGAGAATAAAATACCATTATTTCAAAAACACAGAAGCGTTTCAGTTTTAAGAGGTACAGTATATTCCAATTTGGTTATTCAAAGTCTGCTACAGATTGTTAAATAGCTTTTTAATTTTGTAGATCTAGTAGTTTCTAGTTTACAAGGAAAGAAAAATTGTTTTATTTTCTACCACTGTTACTCTTTACTGCTTTACATAACTCTTAATTGTGACTATTATTTGATAGTTCTTTTGTTTCTTGCAGTTCATCTATCTGAATTGCCATTCTGCTGGCCAACTATTAAATATTTCTTCTGGCTAATGAAGTGCTTATTTTAGGGAAAAACATTTTTAGTGTTGCCAGTAAAAAGTAAAAGTCAGCAATTTAAGCAAAACAAACAAGTCAAAGTATATTTCTTTAAACATTTAATATTTAGGAATGTTTCCTAATGGCATGACCTGCGAGATTAAAAAAACAACAACAGTTTTTCAATGACTCAACAGGTAATTTTCCCAAATACAGTTTAAAACGATAAAGGGTTGTGTTTTTAAATAGAAAAAAAGAAAAGTCATTTATATATTCATAAGCACAATCTGAAAATACCTAGACAAAATCTTTAAGCATTTCATTTTCCAAAGGTTTTAACAACCCAGCTGGATTGTTGGCTGCATAGTTCACAATTTTATCCGTCCTACACAAATAACTACCCTTCTCTGTTGCAGCCTTCTTACAGAGCCGGGGTAAACCAGAAGGAAGCAAAAGTTTCAGACTTGATGTAGTAGATAAAATTTAAAGTTTTGATTGTTGGCTGCTGGAATCAGCAACACTATGATTTTATAACAGATTCTGTGATATGTATCTATTTATATCCCACTGAATACTTATCTACTGTATAACTGCTTTCAACGGTTAATTGTTAAGCAAGACCAATATAATTTCTCCAACATGAATATTGTTTACCAATTTTAGGTATGGTTTATACAACATTCCCTGAACAACTGTTAAGTTTTTAAAAGCCTGACCTAGTATAAAATACTACTAGTATAAAACCATAAAATGGTTTTATGAACTAAATGTCATAAAACCATTATCTTCCCAATCCAAAAATACACATTAACATTATAATCAGGACATTATGAAACAGTGTCACAGTTTCATAAAGGCCCTGCCACATTACACTTAGCAGCCCTGACAGGGAAGCCATGTGACTATGACATCTATTTCTGGTCACTAGGCCTTGTCCACAGCACAGGGAGAAGATGGTGCTTATATCTGAACCACAGGACGACATCCATTTGTATCAGGGACGCAAAACTATGCTGGGAAAATTGGCTGAATCTACTTCCTTGTCTTGTAATATGGCATGGATCTTTAAAAAACAAATCCTGAGAATAGTGCAAAGAGAACCACTGCCATTGAACAAGACCATTTTACACTATTTAAATATTTTTTTCATGTTTCCATTTCATTTTGTTTTACATTCCATCCGTATTTTAAACAAGGCACTTATTTCCTAGTTTGCATTTTTTCAACCTCTGACTGACAGAGTAAGTTGTTTTCGGGCTCTCAATAATTGTATTTTACAAACCGGCATGGAATTAATGTTGCTTTCAACTATAAAAAAATTGCAAGTGCATAGAATGTTGCATTAGTAGTCCCTCCCAGGTAAAATAGTCCTTACACAGATGATTATGACTGAGAGACAAAGACTAAGAAGTGAGCAGGAAAATAAAGCTCTCTATACAGTTTTTATATTACTTTTATAAAGATTTTCTGTATGATTTTAAACTTGTTACCAACAAACAGGACTATAGTTTCTTATGGGAAAGTATATAAATAAGAGATGCAATGGTATAGCTGACGTATCAAAAGAGAGATGCATGGATAATTTTAGACTATTTTCCTGTAGATATATGACATTTCTTCACGGACTTGTAGAAAACTACAAAACTCTGTATAAATGCAAACTACAAAACTTTGTATAAATGCAAATATATATAGCTCTAAAATTAACTCTTAGCTTTTGCTTCTTGAAGATAAAACACAGTAAGAATAAGAAAACTTAAATACAAATGGTATAAAAATAAAAAAGGCAACTGAGGTAATTTAATTTAGGATTACTGCTGGTAAGATTTAATTTAGGATGCTTTGTCTATACATAAACTTTAAAATGCAAGACATGTGCTTTTTGAAAACACTGGCTTCATGGTTTAATGCTGACTGCATTGCCCAAGGTCCAAGAACCTGTTCACATGATCCAGTTTGAAGCCTGTGGTTTGTTCATAGGAGTGATGGGCATTAAGGCGACAATTTATTGGGAATACTAAAGCAAAGTGTCTGTGAAGGAACTCAAAAAACTGCAGTGGTTTCCACTGATAACAGAATCTTCTTCTGAAAACATGTTTACTGTAGAGCTTTGTGCCAAACGTTCCTGTCCTCCAGGTAGTGTTTGCAATTGCAGTCCCCAGGAGAAGGTGCTACTGGTTACTGCGAACCCGCAGTAGATTTTCCAGTTCAGTTTTGTTAATGGTCCCGTAGGCTTGTGCATAGCTGCCCAGCTTAGCCTTAGGGTCCCCTGCAGCTCCAACATTGGAGGCATTCTGGAACGTTTTCTTGCTGAATTTTGGGATAGGTTTGCTCTCACGCGTCTGTGAATGTGACCTCTGATTCTTGAAAACAGGAAAAAAAACATTTTAAAAAAAGGAAAAGGTGCAACATCAGTAGAAGAAAAAACATTCATACCGCTGCTTGTTCCACTACCTGAATATATTCAGACAAGTCAGGTATAATCTCTTATTGTCAGAGGGCTAGAGACTTCAACAAGGACACTTAAGACAAATTTTACTTTGATAATTATTTTTCAGGGAAACCTGTAGAAACGCTTCATATGCTTTTAACATCTAACTTTAAATACAATAAAATTTAATAATGTACCTTGTGTACCTGTAGTTCATTTAATATGTAATATAAGATAAGATAAGATAAGATAAAAGCACTTTATTAGCCCTAGGTACAGTATGTACAGTATGTATGTGCAGTATACATATGCATATGTACACTGCATTCTCAAGCATAAGAGGTAGAATGATTTTTAAAGTCTAGAAAACACAGTGCAAAATTGTGCAGTAGAAGCATAACCACTTTTCTTACTATATATACATACAGAACATTAAATTAATTTTCTGAAAATGTTGATCCAAAAATTATTCCCCTTCCTATTTTGTTTTAAGCTTGACTAGTACCTTTAAACCTTTAGAAGATCAGAAGTAATTCTTTCCCCAGAGCAAAATCCTTGAATGTTAGCTTATTCCCAAATTTGCATAAACATCTATTTTAAAAAATAACTCTAACAAGACGGTGTCTTTACCAGGCGCGCAGTGCCCACACTCATCCCTGCGGCCACGTCGGGCTCCTCCTTCCTGACCAGAGGGTTGTTGAAGCGGTTCTGGGTGAGAGAGAAGGAGCGGGCTCGGGCGATTGGAGCCGAACGGCCACGATGCTGCTCCGCCCCCCTCACTGGAGCCTGACTCTGAGGAGCAGAAAGGATCCTGTTACCCAGGGCTGGGTCAGCATGCGTTCAGGGCTAGGGAGCTCCACAGCTTCCACATTCCGGTCTACGCCTCTCGAAGCTTTACACTACCTGCTTCTTTCTGATTGCAGTCTTGTGGAAAGGTTTCAGGTTATTTGCTATTAGACATTGACTTCGGGTATATCAGGATAGTGATTTCAGACAAAGTTAAAAGAAATTTGAGAATGCCAAGTTCCACCTTGCTTTCCAAAGTGCTTGAATGGTCACCACAAAAGCTTGACATGCATCTGAAAGCAGCCTCACAAAGGCTACCTGGAATCAGAAAACAGACACTCGAACCAACCCACAAACCTTGTGCAATGTTTCAGAGGGCAAAGTCACTTGATATAGGATGCCTTAAAAATCCTGTATCAGGTCTACACTGCAAACACAACAGGAAAGGAAAAGGAGGCAGACATACAGCACAATCCTTATAAATCCGCGCCTGTTTGTAGCCGTTACAATACAACAGAATTACAAAAGATTCTAATAAGATAACCCAAATAATAACCTTTGCACAGTACTGTAACGAGATCTTAAGAGACGTTTAATTAATTACGGTTCAAGGATGTAAAGTACTGCTTGGGTTGAAATCTTATAATGGAACAGAAAGTATAACCACGACTGCTCACTCCTGACCTACATTAGGGTAGTATTAAATACGCAAAACATACATCCGTAACTTTACAAATTACTTCAACTGCCTTAAAAGCAGAGTCATCCACAGGATCCCCGTCACATTCTTATCTTACAAGAAAGCAACTGTTACACGAGAAGCATGAGGCAGCGTGTCTTTCTGCTGCTTTTCACGTCAGGATGGCATCACAGGAAGGCGGCGATGAGGTCCCAGGGCATGATCACTGTGGCGCTGTGAAGTCAGTTGGCCATTAGTCACTTGTCAGCAGTGCGGAACCAGATCCGTTCCATGGGCCCCATCTAACACACTTTATCTGGATAACCTGCCGTCACTGGGCATTACTGCTCTGGGCTGTCTCAAAGGATTGCCGAGAGCACAGTGCACGGTGTTTTGCTGCATCATACAGTAAGCACAGTAAAGCCACTTTTCACGCATAGCATAATCCAGATCAGACCACAGTTAAAGGGCACAAATGTTGCGCTAAATATCTAAAACTCACATTGAGCCCGTTGGGTCCCTGCGAGGCTGCGGGCGGCGCCGTCACGTTCTCGTGGCTGGTCTGACGCGGCAGCTTCCTGCCCGCCGTCGCGCCGCGTTGAAGAGCTGCTGTGGAGGGGTTCTGGGAAGACTTGGGACCGCCGTCTCAAGAGATCAGACAGAAGGTTTATCAAGGCCACAGCTGGTATTCCCAGATATGAATAAGCACCGTTGCATAATTGTATACATTAAGATCATTTGCTGGTCCTTTTAACTCTGAAATGGCTTGGGAAAATTACACTGGCTGGCGAAGGTTAAATGTCATCATATTCAGTGACCATTTATACTATAAATCACTGTGATGCCACAATATTCTAGATTTCCAAACCCTGCTACCAAACAATAACTGGCAGTAGCACATGCAAGAGTAGTATTTATAAACCAAAGCTCCTCATTGTTTTTTAAAATGCTTTTTTTTTTCTTTTCACAGTAAAGATGAAAAATTGCCAGCTTGGCGAGTCACATGCTATGCTGTATGGCTTCTTGTGGTCAGCATGACTTTGGACCTTTTGTTTTTGCTCAAGGACAACCAGAACTGTGCGAAGAGACTCACTAGGGAGGGCACCATAAGACGCTGGGCTGTGTGTAATGGGGTTGTAAGTGGTCTTGGTGGCCTTGGGGCTGTAGTCCGGACTGGTCCCGGCTCGGTCTTTCTGCGCTGCTGCTCCAGGAGGCGGCAGTGTGGCTTCGGGGGCAGGCGGACTGGCCTCTTTCTGCTCCTCGGGGGGTCTCTCCTGCTGCTCCCCCACGGCCGCCTCCTTCAGCCTGCCCTGCTGCCGCTGGAGCCGCAGACTTGCCTTCCTGTCCAGGATCATCTACAAACCAGGAGGGGGCGCTAGGTCTTTCTTAAAGGAAAGTTGCCCACTGTGTGTGTTGCCCGTACCTACAGTACAATTCCCCATAAAAATTCACTTATAAAATTACTGATCAAGGTCTCCATGGGGCACGAAGAGTACAGCACTTAACATTCAAATCTATCCCTTCATAACAGATTATTTAGATGCAAACTAATTTCATTTTATTTAACAATAAAACTGTGAAAGCTCTGAATTACTAGCTTGCAAGATGAGATCACTGTAGTTAATAATTAACTTCTGTGGTTATTTATTTATGAGCTTCCCAGCAAAGCACGGATCCCACTCGCCTCATAGAGCTTATTGCGGTACTCTGCTACAGACAGCTGCGTGTCATCATCCACCGGGAGAACCACATCGTAGTCCAGGCTGGGCTCCTTTGCAGGGCTGTGGAACCTGGCAAGGATTACAAGACAGCGTCCGTCAGCAGGTTTCATAACCTGCAGAGGAGATTTCTGGACCTTCCATTCCAGCACAAAAACTGCTTCCCCCCATTGGAACAGTTTAATGAATAAAATATAACAAGAGGCAATGTACAACAGAATATTTTTTCCTTATTAAAATGATGTGTATTAAAAATTATCTGCCGTATATGTAGTGATATAGGCATCCATCAGGACTTCCAAGAGAAAAGTTCTGGAAACACTTCTGCTCACATCTGTCTGAATGGGTCCAAAAGCAGGGCCCTATCTGGTACTTCAGCCCATAATGAGTCCTAACCACTATTCCACACTAGTGACTCAACTTATATCTATAATCTTTCAAAACTTATATCTGTAGAACTGGCCAATAGGTTGACAGACTCCTGTGGGCTTGCAGTGTTGTTAGAGACAGACTGACAGATGTGACAGACATATCTATTTAATACATCGGCCATTTCCCTGTTTTTATCCTTGGTACAAACTTCATCCTTTAATAAATAAAACTAAATAAATCATTGAGTAAAGTAGCAAGAAGTGTGGGATTTAAATAGATAAAGGTTGAAGCTTACGGAGCTTTAGTAAGACTTTAATTCGAATATTGCGTTCAGTTTTGGTTACCATACCACAAATAAGGAACAATAAACAGCCGTGGAGTTCAACGAACAGCATAAAGAATTAAAATGATTTGTTTAATTTTGGAGAGAAGTACTTTGTAACCGTTTTGTCTCCTATTACCTGCTGACATAGGGGTGTGCCAGAGCCTCCTCTGCAGTGAGTCTCTTATCAGGGTTGAATACCAGCAGCTTCTGCAGCAGATCAAGGGCATCTGGGGGCACTGAGGGAGGCAGCAAGTCTTCAAGGGGAATTCTGGACCTATGAACCAATTGTACAGTCTTAAAGCTTGTACAGTCAAAAGTACTGACACTCAAATTAGAACAATCAATTGTTTTTTTTTTCTTCAAATTACCATAGTGTTCTAAGAGTTATGCCAGTACTGGAAAAATGGCCACATATTCCAAAAAGTCCATGTATATTAAGATAAGATAAGATCGCTTTATTGGCCGTATACAATTTCTTGTATTAGGAATTTGTCTTTTCGCATACCCCAACTTGCTCTCCATGAGACACACAGACAGGGAGAGAAGCTTGGGGTCAGAGCGCAGGGTCAGCCACTTATATGGCGTCCCTGGAGCAGTTGGGGTTAAGGGCCTTGCTCAGGAGCCCAGCGGAGTAGGATTCCTCTGCTGGCCACGGGATATGAACCAGCAACCTTCCAGCCACAGGCGCCGATCCTTAGCCACAGAGGCACCCACCGCCCCGGTATATATTAAAGTACATAAGACAAGAGTTATCTCAAATTCAGAAAAGAGACATTAATCACCTTAGCAACCTGGAATGCTCATCTCCTTAGCCTGAACAAAACAGAATTCTCAAAAAGGAAATGGAAAGGCCATTGTTACCATTTCAGAATAAAAATGTGAAAAGGACAGATACATTAAAAATGAATGAGTGAGAAACATTGATCACTGAGAACAAAATCAGGTTTTGGTGTCTTGACTCTTGTAGTGTGCAGTGTGAAGTACGTATCCTTTTTCTCCATTCATTGCACTCATCTATTTATCCTAGCTTGCAACCTGGAGTCTTTCCATGTGCATGGCAAATCTATTTGTTTTAGAGTCATAAAAATAGCTGCTAATAAAACTAACTGGGTCACTACCTTTAACCTCCAGTTTAAATTGTGATAGCAAAGCTTGTTCAAAGTTTGATTAAGTCTAATCCAACGTATTTGTTGCCAGGGGCAGCTTTATAAGCTCTCCAAAATCGTATCCTAACTACGAAGCCACTGTAAACTGTATTTCTGCACAATCTGTTAAATTCAATAAAAACTTCCCAAAATGGTCCACACAACCCATGTAAACTTCTCGAAACTGGACAAACCTTTCAAGATTACCTAATCAAGAAAACGAGATCACAAACTAGATAATGTTTCCATCAGGATACAACCAGTAAATCTTTTAACATAGTATATTTTTATTTCATTACAACAAAATCAAATTTCTGCATTCAAGCCACCATACATTCTGCAATCAGAAATCTATGCAATGAGTCAGCTGTACATGCTGCCTATTCCTTTCATGCAGTTAAAACCTTTGACAAAGATACAGATACATAAAAATTCGAGGCTTGCTTATTCAAAGTGGCTAGCTTGTTTTGAAAAATCTGATGAAAAAAATATAAATAAAAAAATGCTCTCAGAATATGTAAGCTTCCATATTTTATGTTCTGAATACAGACAATGCTCATAACACCTGAAACTGAGAGTAAAGTGTCGGTATTATTTAGTCTCCCTGAGTAACTTGTAAAAAAGAGGAGAAAAAAAGACTGTGAACTCACCTTGACAACATTCTCTGGATTACTGAAGCTCCATAGTCCGATTTTATTGAATATATATCTAAAAACAAAAAAAGGAAAACTGTTGTACTGGATATAAATTCAGAAAACTCAGCTAACATGACTACAAAGACTGCTTCTTTTAACAGTCTTCATCTAATCTTGAAAGCATATTTTATCAACTGTGTACTTATTAAATACAGTGTCTGTCCAATCTATAGTGGTAGTTCTCCTGAATTAACATCAGTTACAAATATCTTGGGGTCTTGTATTATTCTCTTACTGAAAATACCGGGTGTACTATTGTAAACGGCAGGTGGAGGTTGCTTCTTCAAAGACACACTAACTGAAAAGCAGTGGAAAGTCAATCCGTTTCAACAGATAAGAAAACAGTGCCAATCGTTGCGGGAGACAGAGGGTTCCTTCTGCGAGGGACGGCTTGGAATCAGTGGCTGGTCATGACAGCTGGGCTTTCCTCAGTGGGTCCACTCTGTCAGTATTACTGAATTATTAAGACAAAAACCCCCGCCCCCCTCAGTTACAAGTCACTGTACTTGACTTCATGTGAAAATAATGGCCTGTTCAGTCTGACACATGCTCTCTTGAATCTTGTTCATGGGTTTATAGGTGTACTCCGGACATTGAGAGCACTCCTCTTTCCGATGACCTCACCTTCATGAATAGGTGGAGGAATGGCACTCATGATTCTTTCAATCTGGTTTATCGTAGATGTGCCTGGGAACAGAGCTTTCCCCAGAAGCATTTCTCCGAGGATGCACCCAATGCTCCACATGTCCACCCCCTTCGTGTACCTGTAAGGACAGACATGTTAATCATAGCTGGCTACCTTTTTTTCTGTAGCAAGTTATTTTAATTTCACAATAGCAAGTGGCAATCGACAGGTAATATCTGAAATAGCTACTGTTGACTTTTAAGTTGTATATTTAGTAGTGTATTTAAAAACATTGTAAATATAACTGAATCTTTTCTGGGGGTTTTTGTGCAGACAAATGTGTATCTCCCATTTGCAATTATAATAGTTTCCCATTTAAGACATGGATTCCCACATTTGACTATTTCTTATCACTTTCATTTGCTCATGATCACATAGATCCAAAATCTTGCCATTAATTCTTTGGATGAATTGAATTTCTACAAGAATGTTGTACATTGATTTTTTGTAGCCCCTAACACTTTTATTTTGCTACAAACTTAAAACTCAAGTTGCAGTTAGAGAAACAGGTAAACAGCTGATTTCTTCTTCCTATAGATCTAGGATTAATGTTTATGCCTATGAAGACAATTAACACAAGCAGCAATCCTAAACTAGACTGTATTTGCACAAATTGTGATGCACTCTAGATTTGTATGAAACACTCTGTTCTATTTTAAAGTATTGTAATTCAAGCGAAACAATATTTGCTGTAGATGCTGAAGTGTACCTGGTGGAGGCAAGGAGGATCTCAGGGGCACGATACCATCGTGTGGCCACATACTCTGTCAGAGCAGGGTTCCCAGCATCCTCCTGGATCTGGTACAGCGAACGTGCCAGACCAAAGTCACACAGCTTCACAAAGCAATCTGTGTCAAGCAAGATATTGGAAGGCTGGGGACACAGAGAAAGACACATATGTAAAATACAAGAAAACAGCAGAAAATTGGATACGTTTTCTAATTTTGTTAGTCTTACTACCTTTATTCTTTCTTCCTCACTGTTAATATACAAGTATGTTCTTGTCTTGAATTATATTTTTAATAATAATTGGGTAACATTATTACCCAATCTATTATTAACTCAACCAATTTAAAAACAAATGAGGACCTGAGCATGCACTCATATCCAACACACCATAGGCACCACAGTATTTTAAAAAACAATTGAAGAGGAATTATTTTTTTCGCTGATGTCACGGCAAACTTGTAGGGGCCTGGCTGACTTAAGCCCACCCAAACCCCACAAAGCTCAGCTAAGTGAGAGATGCTGTTTGAGGAATCCCTGTCAGTCAGCTAAAGACATAGCCCAAGCTCAAAGTGGCACCTCCTACAGGCTGTGAGCATCTGCAGTAAATCACACTGAAGGCATGACACAATGAGAAACCACCGCAAAGGTATGATAAAAGTAAGCAGGTATCGCAATAAATTCACCGTGGTAAATTCACGGATAACCATGAAAAAGGGATTTGGGGTTCTCATTTTTCTTATTCATCTAGCAATCCTAAAGATCAAATTTAACCAAGCTTCCCATTACATTGTCAAGATTATCGTATATTTCTGGTTAGCCTTCTTTTCTGAAGCCAGCTTCCAAACACAATTTTCAAATCCGCTAACTGAGGTTTTTCTATGTTTGCCAGAGACATCTTTCTACTGAAACAAATTAAAATCACAATTCGGGTGTGTAATTTGTGATAAGGTCTGAAAAATGTTAAGGTATAATTGTTTATTTTACAGAAAAGACAGATATGTTTCAAAACAGGGGCAGGAGTAAAATATTCCTCGAATATTAAGAACACCTTTGTGCTCCCTTCATGTCCTAATGAATTCATTATTTAAATACCTCAATCTATACCCTGCTTTTAAAACAGAGGCCGGGTACAAACGTGCAGGCTTGCAGTAATGTAACTGAGAGATGTGACACTGCTACAGTTAATGCCTACTGTCCCATAAAGCACTGTGAGACTCAAAGTGTGTCAGAAGTCATTTGTCTCAAGACATCCTCCTATTGTACTAGGATTATATTAGGACAGTTACTGGTTGGCTAATCAGCTGTCACTTAAAGCAGTTTCCACAATACTTCCACAATATCGTAAGTACATCTCACACAAAGACGAAAGTCTTGGCAGATTTATTTCTACTGAAGTACCTTCTGGTCCCTATGAATAACGTTGCCTGAGTGCAGGAACTTTGTGGCCTTCAGGAGCTGGTACATGATGTATCGTTTGTGAATATCCTTGAGCAAATTCCCCTTCTTTATCACGGCATGCAGGTCTGTCTCTGTGAATTGAACCAAAATAATACACTGCTTGATGTGCCTGACAGTGAGAATACATCATTTCAGCTTTCATATATAAGCTGTCAAGCTAAGTACCTATTAAGTTCTGTTGCTTCACCCTTCACACATCATACACCTTTCATACGACCGGTTGCACTAAAGACCGAGACAATTGTTTTACGGATAACAAGAAACAGAAACTTTATGTGTAATCATCAGCTTTCAGTCAGTGCGTCTGCTCTGAAAATGCAGAGAATTTGTTCTCCTGCAATTCAGACATATTTCAGATGGATATTATGCATTAGTTCAGGCGTATATACTGGAAAGAATGTCTTGAAAACAGGCCAGGTGCTCGGGAAGATCACGTGATTGCTTAAAGAAATGAGAGCTGTCATAATCATTTGCATAAAGAGTTTCGATATTGGAAGGTGGGACGCCCTTGACAGAGAATTGAGAGAGATAAACTGGCTTTGAATTTGAGAGCTCTGCGATGACCAGTGAATATGAAATGTACACTATCCTCAAGGAGCTTAAGCACAAAAGGTGTGGCAGATAGATAAGGCATAACGCTGCAGTGCATTCTCAATGCAGCCTATCTATGTTTCTTCTTCTTCTTCAGTTAGACCAGGATGGAGCCTCAGACTACAAGATCACAAAATAACAAAGGATGTCAAGCAATCAGCCCTGAAACCTGTTAGAGATCAAAGATGGGAAATCCCGCTGCATTAAAAAGAACCTGAGACATCAGAGGTGTCTGTCCTAGTTTAAACACTCAGCATCTGACAGTTTGCCAACAGTACAGTACGCTGTCTGATGACTGGCATTTAAACAGTACCAGCTCTGAGCTCAGCAACAACAGTACAATAAATACATGTATTTTGTAATTCAAGCAGTTCCTTAATTGATTGGTTAAATGTAGTAATTAAGGAAATATTTAAATGAACACTGAATGGAACAAATCTGTACCTGACACACTGATACGTACTGTAAAAAAGACATTAAGGAAAAGTTTCTATCTTCCTTATACATTATTTACAAGTTTAGAGGAAGCTCTTTTAAGGACAAACTTTTTTAACAATAAACACACATTAGCTGAAATGTCAGGGAAAACCCCTGTTCATGCTGTTCTGGTTTGCACTGGAAGGTAAAGGGATGTCGTGACATGGGGTACACCTGTGCAGGTAACCATGTCCTCACCCATGTACTCGAAGACCAGATAGATGTCCTTGTCATTCTGAGCTCTAATGACATTCAGCAGTTTGATGATGTTGGGATGCTCGCCGAATTCCTAAAACACAACACAGAGACACATTTTACTTCTGCTTTCTCCTTTACAGATCACAGCCTTCAAATCTTTTACCACAAAATAAAAAAAAGCAGTCCATTCAACTGGATTTAAGATATGTACTATAGTGGATAAACCAATGTGAGAGGAACCAGTCTTAACATCAGTGCATTTGTAGTTCGTGTTGAACTGATTCAAGGATCTCATTCAGCTGTTCTCAAACAGATTATGAGCTTGTTCTATACTCCCACAACCCTTTGAAGAAAGTAGTGCCTCCTGCTCTCAGTTCTAAATTCACTTCCACAAAGATTCCACTTGTGTGCTTTGGTTTGGATTTCACTTGTTTGACCTTGTCAGTACTTTTCAGGATGTTAAATAGTTGTATTGGGAAAACATCCCTTGATATTACATTTTTTAAAAACGTTTTTGTAAATCATTTGGATTCATCTGTAGCTCCACCTTGCTGATTAACTGCCCTGTGGTTTAATGATTTTGCTAACCCCCAGAAAATATTTTGTGATTGTTAAAGAAGACAAAAAATGTTCAGCCACTAAACTAAACAACTCTATTATTAAGTCAGAACACAAAGTATATATTAGCAAAGACCAAAATGTTACTCCCTGTTTTGAACAAATTATAATACAGTGTTGTATTTTTAAACCCTTCTGTAATAAAATCAGAATAATTATTGAGGTATGCCCCATGGCTCCAGCTCTGATTAGTGTGAAGAATATGCACACTACTGCACAAAAGAGATAAGCCTGACTTTTAACACTGACCTACTTCCTTACCTGAGGAAGAATAAACACACATTATTTCAAATACAGACAGAAAACAAAATAAAAAAAGGCCTACAAAGAAAAAATGATTTGAACTTCTGTTGCTGCTAGTGTATATTTGAACAAGCGCATCTCGGCAAGAAAACTCACAAATGCTTTGGCTATTGAGCCTTCCTTCTGGTGTGTGGATAGAATAAAAAATATTTGGGCTGTCAAACTAATTTCTATATTTTACTACGCAGGTCCCTACTCTAACTTAATTAGTAGAAAACATGTCAGTGTTGTCCCAGAATGACTTTGGTCAAGGCAAGAACAGAACACATAATACACACCATAACTTACTTAGCAGTGATAGGACCTTAGCAAATAGCAAAGTGCAATCATTATGTCTTAAGAAAGACACACATGTAAAGTTCATCATACTGTATGATTAAGTCTGCAGTTTCATTAAACTGTTCACTCTTAATTGAAAGCCAAATTCTTCCTCAGGGATTAACATAGGGACATACATATATTTATATAAAGAGTGGATGTATTGTTAAAGACAAAAAGCAAAGAATGATTTCAAGAATGAGTAGTACTGCTGAAATGTCTGTTTGCATTACCAACATGCTGGTAGTGATCATCACTGAATTTGAGCTAGATAGCACTGTCCCTGTACCTGTCTCTATGGTAAATTACGTTTAGAATTGTAAACCTTTGGACCTAGTAATAGTATTCCTAAGGTCAGTGTTAACAATCTGGCCTTTAAAGTTGTTTACAAAGCATAACCTAGTGTAGCATACCTATTGGAATATAAAACAGTAAATTGTTCCACCTTCACATTAATTGTGCATCGCTTATGAAGTACATATTTAGATATGTTGTTATTGTGATGATAAAATAATGCAACATAACAAAACGGTATTTACAAAATGTGCCTCTATATGGATTTTGCAGTTCAATAGAAAGTGAACTTCAACAATACCAATATCACATCTAAGCAGTCACATCTCATCACACATGACAATTAGATGCTAAATGTATTACTATTTTTCATTTACTTTTTAATCTAAGTAGGCATTTTCATTTTAAAATGAATGTTTCTTAAATTGTAGATTCTAAATTCAGGAAATTATTTAAAGTCTAAGGTTCTAGTATGTTATTAATTAGCATTTAATTTAATTATAGTTAAGAGCATTATTTAAAAAGGGCAAACCAGAAAATTCTAAAACAACTTTTAAGCTAATCAGCTTTTCAATGATATGTGTAAATGATCCATACATCATCTAAATATCGAACAGAATTTAAAAAAATGCAAAACCATTACATAAATAAGACAAACAAATATTTGCAACCCCAAGTCTTAGTTTTATCTTCATGAGAAGATGACCAGGATCAACTTCCATACTTTTAAGATCAGAACAGGTTATAAAGATATTCCTACCTGAAGAAACATTATTTCTCGGAATGTTCTCTGCAAAAAAAGAAAATGCAATGACTGAAAAAACTGGAATTAGGCAACAATTCTTCAACGGTGCAATTACCAAAAAACACAGACACTGTTTTCAGTTTCCAGTAAACTTACCGGAACTCTTTTGTGTTAGATAAAGATGTGGACAAAGACTATTTCTTACTAATAACCAGTTGGGAAACCAGCATAAAAGTATTCCCTAAACATAGAAGGTTCACTAAACAGACCATGTTAATGTTTACTACTAATACACCCCAAAATAATAATTACAGCAGTACTCCACAGTTGGATTAATTAATGCCTCTCTGATGTAATACCTGACCCCTTAATGATCCTCAAGCTGCTTCTTCCCAGGGTTGAAGGAATCTGAAGGCTAAAACACATGCTACAAGGTGGGACAAAACCTTGTGTGAGATGGTCAGTCCAGAGCTCTGAAGCGACAGTGCTGACCACCACACCATTCAGTCTGCACCATGCAGTGAGCAATACTGTATGTACTTTTTGGGTCAGAGACACCTGTGTTTCAAAAAACGATTCAATATTTTACAGAAGTTACGAGTGTCTTGAAGAGAAAAAAGAAACTCTGGTATACATGTATGAATTCTGGGCACAGGGGTGGGAGACTTGGTGCAATGACATGACCTTCAATATCACCAGCCTTTTAAGAGGCAAAAAAACAAGCCTCAATAAAGTTGAAAAACAAAATGGAGGACACATTTGCAATTCAATGCATCTGCTCTCTGCTTACCTGAGCATCTGTTCTGTTCCTGAAAGCATCAAATATCTTCTTCACCGCAACAATCTCTCCAGTTTTCCGATCAATGGCCTTCCAGACTATTCCATATGCCTACACAAAAAGAAGCACAAAGAAAGGTTAGGTTAGGCTGTACACGAAGACTTCTAAAGCGTTTATTCTTCTCTCAATGTGCTGCCAGGCACAGATGTGTAAATCTTGACATCAAAAACAGCCATTAAACAACTGTAGCCAAGACAGCCCAAGCAATAACAGTGGAGAGTTACGCATGGCTGTCGAAGATGAACTAAAATATTTGAAGGCCTGCCATATTCAGTTACTTCAAACAAACACATTTTGACCAACTTAAAAACAGGGCTTCTACAAACACTGCACCTGTGAAAAATATTGTACATCCAGCTGAAGAAGGTTCTTGTTCAGAATCACTGCTTGTACAAAAATGAAACTACCTGTGGAATGTGGTTTAGTGACACTGGTGTCCTGGTGACTATACACAGTCGAAATGAAGAGTACACAGTGCAGGATAAATCCCCAGTCTAATAGGAAGGGTGAACTCATTCTCAGACTCAGAAAACCATCTCGAAGTGCAAACCCGGCTTGAACCCATTACCTGGAATTCAGTTTTATAGAAGTACTGTGAAAGAATTTCTACAAACTTTTATAGAGCATTACTCATGTCAAGGGCATTATGGAGCTCTGTTCAACTTTAAAAAGAGGACAATAAAGCACTACCTTAGTAAAATCCAGTCAAAACCCACAAAAACATATTCAGTGGTGGGAGGCTTGAAGTCTTTTAATCCTAATTTCTGTAATTTCGCATTAAAGTGCATCCTATTTTATGATACACCAGGTACTGTTGAAGTTACACAGATATAAACTCTCTATCAATACACAATGAGTCTTCAAATTAATTAAAATATATATTGAGAGGTTTTTTTTTCCAGATACAGGTTTATGGTTAATTATCACAGTATGTTTTCTCATGAAAATAAATAGCAACTATGGATATGACAGAAATGGCTAAGCGTTCTAATACAACTTTAAACCCTTCATAATTAACTGTACTTGTTGATAAGTGCTCGTTTATACTATAGCAATGTTAAGGAGTAACAGATAAGGGAAGGACGTATGATATACTGTGCATTGATACAATCATATTATTAGTTCAACTTAAAATGATCCACACCTTCTCAGAGGAAAACCTGAACTAGTCAAGGAGAAACAATGGGAGACACTGTGCTTGAGCATCTATCTCTCACTACACTGCATGTGTTACAGCACTACTGCATTTTTCACAGCCCACAACTTTTGGCTACAGCACTGCTGCCGAGTCATGAATAAATAAAACATGCAGCCCTTGAGAGAAACAGAAAAGGAGTGCTGGAGCTTCTTTCTTTTATCTGACATGAAGGCAAAGCCGAGTGTGTTCACCTTGGATACTTCAGACGCCCGCTGGCACTGGGAGGTTGGAGGATTGTCACTGAAACACTTCTGAAAATAAATTGAACTGGTACGATACGAGTAACCTGTGAGATCATTAAACCAATAAAAATAACAGGGGTCATTGCTTTTCTTTTTGTACAACCTATAACATTGGGTCCAGCAATTCTGGAATAACTGAAAGAGCAACAGTCCTTAATCACACTTGTAATGTGTGCCAAGACATCTGGACCCGATTCTCCATTTGTACTGTACATACAGTTGCCAGATCTCTACAAAGCATCTGATGAGCAGGTTTCTGTATGATTCAAACTCTAGTGCACTGTTTTCCTTCCTAGGTTTCCCATGGTTTAAATCTAGAACCTTATTTAAATTATTGCGCTGTAAAGTTATCTCATAGTAGAATTCAGATTCCTAAAAGAAGCGAGAGTGCTAGGCTCCTGTCTGAGATGTCAGGAGTGTGTGGAGAGAGGACAGGTCTGGATACTCTCAGAACACAAGCTGGACTGCGAAGGATGTCCACTCACACATGGAAGGCCCTGTAGATTCCAGCATTTCATTTTGACACGCAATACAGTTGTTGACTATGCTGGAAGTAATGGGTTAAACCCTTTTTGTGTTAGTGGCCGTGAAGTATGTTTACAAAATGGTCGGATTACTGTGACCAAGTCAAAGCACAAGGAGGGCCTCATGTCTGAAATATGAAACTAAAAAGAACCTTTTTTAACTCTCTTCTCCTGACTGTGGAGAACGCAATTGTTTTTAAAGTAATTCCTTAATGGGCAAAGACTATGAGAAATGACCACAAATGACCAGTTTTATATTATTATTAGAGCAACAAAAAAGTCATTGAAAAGGTGAGATATAAGGGGGTCCAGTTCCTAGTTTTTATCACTTCCCAAATTTGAAAAGAAACAAGGTTTCAAGTGGAATTCCATTACAGTTGCATGTGCCCAGGGCTGAAAGCAAGAGGTGAACAGCTGTCTCACTACTTGAGAGTCTGACCTCAAGAAGCCATTAGATTACTATTGTTAAATAACTTCAACACCACATCACGAGCACACCGCAGGGATAATGCACTTTATAATAAATCTAGACATTTAGACAAGTGTTCCAGCTCTAGTCCTGCAGAGCCAGTGGCGTCTGTGGGTTTTAATGTTAACCTTGCTAATAGTAACTAATTAATGGCTTGGCTGGACCAATTACCAGCTGTATTTAAATCCTGTAAATACGGTAGGTTACAATGGCACATTAGGACCATAGCCGGTCCATCCTGGTCTAGTTTTGAAACTCCTGTAGCTCTTACCTGGAATGCAGACACCCATCATTTTGAAGGAATTTTATTCACCAGTTCATTTAATGATCTAACTTAATTCCAACTAGGTATGCATATTTATGTCTCAATTTTCTGACCAAAGTACGTACACTCCCGTCTGAAGTGAGTTAACACGCCAGGAATCTTTCCTACAACAAGCCAGGTTAAATCAGTGCTCATTAAACTTGGATAATGTAATTGATAAGAGTAATTTGTTTGACAATAACTATCAGCCTAAGTGAACTAATGAAAAACTTTCAAATAAAGGTGCCAGGACTTTCTATTTGACAGTATTACTACCACCATTCTAAAACATCAAAAATATTTCGCTCTACACGGAGGAGTGCTAAATGACAAGCGTCTCAAACCCCAAATATCACAACTATCCAAACCAGTAAACTTATGAAAATCTAGACTCCTGACAATTCTGCTAACTAAGGCAAGTATATCTGGATCTGTTTTAGAGTTTCATGTGATAATTCCTAGCATCTTTTGCAGTTTCCGTGGAGACACCGCGCTAACACCCTTGCTGTGTTCGTTATTATGCTTTACCGTGATTTTACGTGGTTTAATAGACTTTTACCACTCTATATCTTAACATTATAGCAGCGCTTTGTTACAGGAATAGAGAAAGGAAATTAAAACAAGACCCTAACAGCACACCAGCACACACAGAAAACAGCCTGAGCTTCACCGTGTCCAAGACAACTGGCACCTAACCACCCACAGCGTCCTTACCCAACTGTACGAAGCACGAACTTTCACAAAACTAGGCGAAGCACTGCTGCAACCTTTAATTAAGTAAGAACAGTATCGGATAAAACCTGGCAAATTGTCTAGTCGGACAAAAGAAAAGTTTTAAGGATTGTGGTTAAATCGCTCTTTTATTTCAATTTTTTCGCAACGAATGAAGTTAAGATTTTTAATCGCAAGTGAATGCATTAATCGCATTCGTGGTGACGTTCCTGTGAACAAAACATATGATATTTATTTCCATTGACAGGTCTGCGTCGTAATTATGGCTGAAATACACTGATCTTAAATTTCCCCACTGCTGTTTCGTCTAACCCTTATCTGTCGTTACAAGAGGGTCAATCCACGGGATAGTAATTGTTACTGCAACAACCATTTCTCAGCCAGTAAGCACGCCACATAACACAGAAGGTAAAACTCACCCCTTTGCCAAGTCTTCTTTTAATCTCATATTTCAGAGAGATGTGATCTTCCACTGCTGTGACATTCATGATGAAAGTCGGTTTCCGCAATTAAACAAAATAAAGCGACTTTTCAATGTCCTGCTCTCACAGGCTGAGATTCGGGACTCAATTTTTGGACGCTCTCTTCAACAGACCGATCGGCTACAGCAGCTGCGTCATCTTGACGCACGCATCCAATGTTTTGAATTAAAAATTTCACCTCTGCGTGCAAATAAATAAAAAACCGTAAACATTGAAGGTGAGACGCCGCACTTTTTCGGATTTGTACTGATGCCAGAAAAGGGAAGTCTTCGATCTACAGTAGCTGGTCTTGGATCTCTTGTTCTTTCTTAAAATGACGATTCCGTTTACTTATTCAAAGGGTTTTCTTTTTCGCATGAGCATCGGTGCAGACCATTTCGTTAAAAAAAAATAAAGGTGCATTTTTAGTCATCCGTTCCCCCGAGCCCTTCTTGGTCAGTTGACGGCATGAGTGCGTCGACCTTCCTGTGCTAGGTACTGATCAATTAAATGTTATCATCCGCTGTTACAGGTCCCTTTGCCTTGTCGATTTCCCATGATCCCTGTTTTTTTATGCTCTGTGGTATGGCACACTTTTATCCCCTTATCTCGTTGTGGGGTCTCCCTGTCTGCACTGGGCCGCCTGTCCCTGTTGATACCGTCCGTTGCCCTGGAGACGCGGCTAACCTGACTGACCCGCTCCTACTGGGCCGGGTCTTAAAGGAGCCGTACCACAATGCAGCAGAGACCTGTACCGTGAAAGCCAATGGCAATCACAAAACTGGACCCGCTTGTTCTGAAGTTACGGATCTATCTATCTAATAACATAGGGATTTACATTTAATTACTTCAAAATCATAGGATTTTAAGAAACCTTTATTTTATAATCAAGGTATCCCAAACAGCCTTTACAAATAGGGATTTATTTTTCACAACACGAAGCCTGCAAAGACAATGAGTAAAAGAAGTGTAAAACCGACGTAGAATATTTCAAACAAGATCAGAAAAAGCCACCAAAGCTTTTTTTCCCCCAAGTGTCACAGTTGTGTTTCATGTAACAAAAATGCTTTTGGCAATGGAAGACCGCAAACAATCGGAAAATAGTTTTTAAATGTGTTCTAGGAATGTTAAAGTATGACCCTTTTACTGTTGGCACAGATTTCCCAAAATGAGGTGTGACCTTTTAGCCCTTTGGGGTTTATTATGGCAGTAAAAATCCTCACAAAACTGGATTTTATATAAAGTAAAAAGTCCTGTCAATAGTAAATCACAAAGGAAAATACATTTCACATTAATAAAAAGTGCTCATTTGAAAAGAAAACTGCAAAGGAAACTGCAGTTGGAATTTTTCTTGATAAATTAAGGATTGAATTAACCTACAGAAAAAAAGTAAAATAAAAAATGTCAAATTGTTCCTGAAATTGTTTTTATGAAAGATCTACTTATATTCTGCTGCAGCCAAATTTTGTCATCCTCTTTTTTATTTAACTGGGTTTACCAAAAAAGTATTGGGAAAATTTTCTGGAACATTGTTTCGTCCTAAAACATAGCATTAAATGTTCACAACAATGTGTATCCCACAACAAGTAAGGTATAACACAACCAGTAATTTATCTTGTATGTACAGGGCAGTCACTTTGTAGATAAACTGGCATTGACTCAAATGACACCAAAGAAGTGTAACTGTTGGAAATAAAATACATTCACTACCTCAAGTCTAAAGAAGTAGGCAAATTTATTAAGGAGTGTCATGCAGAATATTTTTATTTACAAAGAAGAATAACCTACAGCATAAATAAATACACTAACAGAAAGACATAATTGAAAAATGTAAAACATTTTCAAACACAATTCCTATGGGTTAGGGATGCAATATTTCATAAGTATACCAAATGCAAATGGCCAACTTGGTCACACACTTTTGACTTGCAAGACTTAAAATTCAACTGATTCTGAAGAAATAATCCAAGAACGCTCGTCCGTTACAGAGAATGCCTTTTGATCTTTTGAAGCTTTAGAACAGTGCTAAAATGCACAGTAAGAGCCCATCAACATGCACAATGATCAGTAAGAAACCGCAAACCTGTGAAAATACTCCTCGTCATGTCATGTTTCTGTCACTATTATACACACCTAATGGCTGGTTCTGAATGTGTAAATGGTGTCGTGCAGAACATGATATTTTAAAGTCAAACGAAAAATCCTTTGGTTTATCCTTATCTTCAATGAACCAGGGTATTTTGCAGCAACAGAAAAAAAGGCTTTCCCTGAACTTCAATATGTCCTTCTAATTTCTTAACTCTTCATGCAAAAACATGTTCAGAGATGTACACAGGAGATCATATTTTTTATTTGAATCAGTAAAATGCTTCATTTTTACTGCATCCTATTCACAATTTGAATTTGTTTATACCCCAATAGAAATGTTTACACCTAAAAGTAGATTTAGTAATCTTAACCAAGTATTAAATTAGTGATAAAGAGCTACTCCATAATTGAACATATGAAAAAATGTAATGTACTTTGAGTTTCAGAAAGTCGTCGTTTCCAAATACACTTATCAAAGACGATTTCAAAACATCTTTTGATGATCAATCTGCTTAGAGATGTACAAAAATCCAAAAATAGTTCTACTAAAAATATTCTTCTGAAAAGGACAATCACTAAGTTTCTAAAATGACCGATTCCTCCCTTGTTTTGATATGGCTGCAATTTATTTCCTTCTGATATTCACAACTATGAGTGAGCACTGAACAGAGACAAAAACTCCCAGTCCTTCATGTATCCACAAGCTTATCAGGGTCTACTCTACTTCTCAACAGAGCTGAAAACATCACTGGCACAGTTAAAGACACTTGAGCTCCAACTAGCACAGAGATAATGTTGCTCCTCAGATATCCATCCATTTTCTAACTGCTTCTTCCAATTTAGGGTTGCAGGGAGCAGCAGAATGTCCCAGCAAGCAACTGGCGCAAGGCAGGGTACACTCTGGATGGGACACCAGTCCGGGGCAGACACACAAACACAGACATGCTCACATAATCATACCTTTGACCAATTTTCCCAGAAGCCAATTAACCTTCCAGTAGGTTTTTGGGCTATAGGATGAAACTAGAGCATCCAGAGGAAACCCACACAAATACAGGGAGAACATATTAACTCCATGCAGATATCATCTCAGGCCCAGAATTGAACCCAAGGTTCCAGCAAAGTGAGGCAGCAATGCCAATCGCTACCTCCTCTGATCTCAAACAAGTGAATGCAGTTCCCTCATGCATACAAAATAATTATATTAACAAGAGTTAATATATATTGAAATACATAATGATTGGCTAAAAATACTGAACCTTCATAAAGGGAGAAGCTGGCTATGGTAAGATTTTAGGTTCCTACAAAATCAGTACCTCAGTGCTAACCTCGATACTGTTTTTAATGCATAGACATGTTTTGTGGGCAAATTTAAAAAGAACTCCTATTCTGCTTTTTTTCTGTACATCTCTATTTATAACCCTCACAATGCCCCACAGTGTCATCTTTCAGTTGAAAATTACCCTCAATGTGTAAGCCATTTGCTGTTCTTTGATACCAATAAACATGAAGACAACAAACTGCAAAATATTCAATTCACTGAAGCCAGGCACTTTTACGGAGAATAATGGGGCAATATGAGGGATGTCAGCTTTCAGCATCCTTCAGAATTCCTGGAAGGGAGGTGTCAGTAAATTCCAGGGAAAATAGGGTGGGGAAACAAATTAAGAGGAATGCAAGAAGCGGTTGAAGGCATTGTATGCTGACTCCAGGTCAAACAGCATCTGCCGAACTTGAGAGTCGTCCAGCTCGTCTGAGGCAGACATCCCACTAAGAGTGGTCAACCTGAAAAGACAAAGGAGATACTGCTTCATCAGGAGGTGGACTGAACTACAAAAGACCAGCCTCTTATGGAACTGCTTTTTGATCAATTATTCACATAAATCTCTTCAGGATCTCTTTAAATTCCTTCTGTGTAAAAGTACTCAACTCAAAACATGTAAATGTTATTACATTTTAAAGAAGCAGTCTTGTGAATACCCCTCTTTTAATGGAATATAAATATTGCTCTCCTCTTTGAGATTTGAGATTAGTTTTGCCAACTAATACCATTTACTTGCTAACTGTGCATGCAGGCCAAGCTGGAACGTTTCTGCAGCGAAATGTCTGCTGCACGACCTGTACTTATTCGCCTGTACATCGCATTACATTAGACTTTACAGTGCGACAGTCATCGCAATTCGGATGTGCTCTTGCTCTCATCTGTGGAGAGACCAGTGGTTTGTGACCACAGTGGTGACCACACAGTACTTTCACAAAGGTCACGTTTTTGTGCTTAGTTCAAAATTTGGAAAGTTTTTCTAGACCGTCAATTAATTCATTTTGTCAGAGATTTGCTAACCAGTCTGAGAAATTATGAGCGCAGTTCTGCTTTAACAAGGTTGCCATGTCTGCTCCATCCCTCTGATTGTAGTGGCCATGGAGAAGCTTCATGTCCAGCCTTGGTATACTGTAGGTACATGAAGGAACGTACCACAGGTTGACTTTGTCCTTTGCCTCGAAGTCTGGGGGCACGTTGCTCATCCTGTTCATAGTCTCCATCAGCTCCCTCAGGTCTGGCTGGATCTGAGCAGGGGCAGACAGAGGAGGCACTGAGAATCTGACCACAGCCTAGGGAAAAGGGCTGGACAGAGGCTGAAAACAGCGGGAAGAGTTTTGTACTGACAAACGAGGACTTGGTGAGAAGAAAAGAAGGCAAGAGATGACTGAAGTACTTTCAGCAAGTAGTCTTACATGAAACAACATGCAAGTTCACCAAAAAGTAGGATCTACTGAAAGCTTGTTTCTTGCTTGTCAACAGTGTTTGAACAATGCAATGATCAAAGGGGCTTTGTTTAACCAGCCTCATTCAGGAATTAATTTAAAGGTATGGGGAATAATTCCTTGTAAGTTTGTTGTCTGCTTGTTGACATTGTCATGCTATCTGTGTTATGTTGGAAAAAAAACATCAAGAGAGCTTAAAACAAGAATTAGTGAACTCAAAAGCATTATAAGAAATAAGAATTAGAAATGTCTGGCTACATTTTAATTCACATGGTCATAGTCTGTTCCTTATGGGAACAGATTATGGGCAATGAGGCAGTAAAAGCCCCACATAGGGGTGGAAATCACGACAAATTACTTTTACAAAGAGAAGCCTGGTGGATAGGTTTCTAGGGTACTATGACCCCACTGGGCCTGAATTACTTATTTTCTTTGTCTTTTCTATACGTTTACGACATATTATTCCAAATAACTGGTGTTAATTCAATGATTCAGTCACTTACATGGTTAAATGCTTAACTTTGATTTGCATGGCTGATAATGGTGATTAGAAAGGTCACGTGATTTGTAAGTTTATAAGTGGGGGGAAGAATGCCTTGTTACAATTGCACCCTGTAGAAATGGTGAAATTCATCCATGCTTATGATAAAAAGGAAAAAACAAGCTCTATCCATTTAATCATTTTCAACAAAAAGCAGCCCCAAAATGCATTGCTTTACCTCATCCATGGCCCGAATCTCCAGCCTTAGCTTATCCATCACTGTGATGAAGAGCTGGAGAGGAACAGACAGCCTCAGGTTAGAGTCAGGAGAGATCAGCCAGGGCAAGACTGCCACCTACAGGGCAAGTACATGCCTGCCAAGTGGGTGACAAAACAGCTGGTCAGGTGCTTTGTAAGTTTGACCCCCCTCCTGTCCACAACACTCTGGGGAATGGGCCAAGAGCCCACTTTTTAAATCGTTTTTTTTAAGGCAGTGATTGGAATAGTACAATACCTTAGTTTTTTCAATGATTCATTTAGAGCAATTTCCATAGCAAGTGGACAGATTAGTAATTGCGCTTAGCATTTTAATGACCACTTACATCCCGAAATATGGGACGTCTGGTGCAAACCGTGCGCTTAACACAAGTAAAAAGCAAACAGATTCTCAAACTGAAAACAAAATCTTGGCAATCTGTC